AAAGGACCTGAGTACAAGCTGCAGCACACACACACACACACACACACACACACACACACACCATAAATAATACAATTATAACTAAGGTTGGAGACAGGTTTTACAAAAGTAAATTCAGGGGGATAAATCACACTAGGATTAATTCTGATTAAAGTGCTGTATAGGCATGTGTGAAATACCACAATGCAACCCCTTTGAACCATTAGCACACACACACATACACATAAATGTATGTAAAATAAATCCTGTCTGGGTGTGGGTTCTAATGGGAGGTGTGGAAGGGGTGGGGAGAGGGAGACCAGAGAGGGTGAAGGTGGGTAAATATGCTCTCTCTCTCTTTCTCTCTCTCTCCACACACACATACACACACACACATGTGAAAATGGAACAATGCTCGTTGAGACTGGCTTGGGAAGGGAGGAGGGATAAGGTAGAGTGAAGACAGAGTTTGATCAAGGTACTGTATGTATATTTGGACATGTCAAAATATAACCCCCCCTATGCAGCTAACTGATGCTAACTTTTAAAAATATGGAAAAAGCTGGGAGCAGTGGCTCAAACCTATAATCCTGAGCTTGGTGGGAGGCAGAGGTCAGAGGATCAAAGTTTGAGACTAGCCTAGGCATAATCTTTTTTGTTTTTTTTTGGTCCGGTCGTGGTGCCTGAACTCTGGGCCTGGGCGCTGTCCCTCAGCTCTTCAGCTCAAGGCTAGCGCTCTACCACTTGAGCCACAGCGCCACTTCCGGCTTTTTTTTTCTTTTTTGCTTATGTGGTGCTGAGGAATCGAACCCAGGGCCTCAGGCATGCAAGGCAAGCGCTCTACCACTGAGCCACCTTCCCAGCCCCATAATAATCTTATCTCATTGGAAGTCTGGGTGAGATGACACATGCCTGTCATCTCCAGTGACACAAGGAAGCACAAACAGGGAGATCTCAGAGCAGGCTGACATGATGGAAAAAAGAGTTGGAGGCATGGGTTCAGTGGTACAGTGCCTATTTTATATGTTTGACATTGTGAGTTCAAACCCCAGTACTGTCAAAACAAGGGGAAATACAGCCAAATGCAACTCCCAGAATGAATACATCAAGTAGTAAACATATTCAGTATTTTTTTTTCCTCCCCATTTATATTGATATGTTCTAGGGCCAGGCCTAGTAGCACAGATCCCATCAACTCAGGAAGCTGAGATTGGAAGGATCATTGTTTGAGTCCAGTCTAGGCAAAGAGTTCATGAGACTACTTAAAATTAACTAAAAGTTAGCAAGAAACTACTGGTGTATGTAAAGATCATAAGTCTATTTATTCAGGGCGTCTTGCAAGCTGAGTACATTATAGCTGTGCTTAACTGAATGCGCCCCACCCCCACCCCAGTTTCCACAAACCAAGTGCAAACCATCAACCTAATTATTACTGAAAAGGCCTGATGATGGATGGTCAGATACCTTCTGCTCCCAAACCACTCATGGACCCATGGTTGTAAAGCTTTTATATTTATATATTTACTGGCATTGGCCAAGTACCAGTAGTTCAGAGAGAAGTGCCCAGTCAGTCCAGGATCAGTTGAGATTAATTCATGCCTGAGCTAGCCACTCCTGTGACCCTTGATCAGGCTTTCAAAACTGAATCATTCGGAGCTGGGTGTGGTGGTACACACCTGTAATCCCCGACACTCAGGAGCCTGAGGCAGGAAGATGATGTGCATTTGAAGCTAGGCTGGGCTATATGAGAAGACCTTATCTTCCTCCTCTCCCCCGCAAAAAGTGGGGAGAGGAGACAGGATATTCCTTATTTGGGAGTTTGGTGGCAAGCCTTTTCACTTTCTATGTCTCTAAGGAACCACTCTAAGACTATATAGATTCTATATAATATATAATCTGTTTATATATAATATATAATCTGCTTAAATCACATATCCAGTGGGGTCCCCTCCATATTCTAGGTCTGTGAACCTTTAACAGGTGATCCATTTGCTTGACGGCTGTGGTTAGTTCAGAGATGGGCAAATAATCCTCACCAGGCCACAGACCAGCTCTGGGACTAGCAGGGATACTGGGTTGGGAGGAAATTAGGAGGAAGTGCTTTCTTTGTAGGATTGTAAGGGTATGAGTGGCCCCCTTGGCCACCTGTGATGAGAACTGGACTGAAAATGAATCTGACAGAGGTGATGAATACAGAGGATATGTGTGTGTGTGTGTGTGTGTGAGAGAGAGAGAGAGAGACAGACAGACAGACAGACAGTCAGACAGAGACATTTTGAGAACACAATTGACTTCTGGATCAAGCCATGCTTGAAGCCAACAGCTACCCCTGGACTGGGCTTTCGAATCTGCTTGCCTATAAGCTGATTCTCATGATGTTTTCTTCTCATTGCTAGTGGACAAGTACTCATGGATACAGCCTGAGTCTGAGAAAAGCCTTAAAATGTCTAACTCAGAGCTGTACTCCAGTGGCTCACACCTGTAATCCTAGCTACTCAGGAGGCTGAGATCTGAGGATCACGGTTTGAAGCTAGCCTGAGCAAGAAAGTACATGAGACTTTTGTCTCCAATTAACCACCAAAAAATAAAAAATGGAGGTATATCTCAAGTGGTAAACCACCAGTCTTTGAATGAAAAAGGAACAATGCTCAGATCCTGAGTTCAAACCTAAAGCAGGCACCAAAAAAAAACCCCACCAAAACAACAACAACAAAAACCCCAAAACTTCCAACCCAAAGTAGTTTAAGTTGAAGCCACTTCTGCATTTATAGGAGCATTATTTTCCCCAATTGCTTCTATTTCCTTCTTCAGCACAGATTCCCATTTGATTTCAGGCTCCAATCTGGTCTAAACCCCCCTGCGCCACAGCCTTTCAGACCCTTGCTATATCCTCCTATGTCCTCATTCCCCTCCCATTGCAGGTTAGGTTTACTGTGTGGTTTGTATCTGCTGATTGCCCGCCACAGCCACATTTATTTTGTGAAGCTCACCCTTCCATGCAGCAAATCCACACCGGCATTCAGGACAATCTCTCCAGTGGTTGTGGGTCTATGTCCACCTAAAATGTCATTGGTCAAAACTCTCAACAGATTGCTTTCCAGGTGCCAGGTACCAGTCCAGATGCTTTATGAAATTACTACACTTTGGTTCTACCACACTAAATATTGAGGAAAATAAGGTATTGGTGAAGAAGAGATAAAGTTGGTTTTAAGATCAAAGCTTATAATTATAATCATGATTCCATGGTATCAAGATCACACCTGGGCATCTTCTCCATACCTCACCACCAATGGAAGCCATTGCCAGTCTTTTTTTTTTTTCCACTCCTGGGGCTTGAACTCAGGGCCTGAACACTGTCCCTGAGCTTCTTTTGCTCAGGGCTAGCACTCTACCACTTGAGCCACAGTGCCACTTCTGGCTTATTCTGTTTATGTGGTGCTGAGGAATTGGACCCAGGGCTTCATGCGTGCTAGGCAAGCACTCTACCACTAAGCTACATTCACAGCTCATCTTCCAAGGCACTTCTTGTGTGCCCGGAGACTCTTGCATGTGACCCAGTAGCACAGTGGCTCAAGTGATAGAGCACTAGCCTTGAGCACGGAAAAGCTCAGGGACACTGCCCAGACCCTGAGTTCAAGCCCCAGGACTAGGGGAAAAAAAACAAAACCAAGAAATGCAAGGATATTCACAGCCTATTAGGGAGATTAATTTAATACCAGCTCTACACTAATGCTGTGGCGAGTCCAAATACCCCAGCCCTCCTCAGGTGCCATGGAGTGGGGAGAGCTGGGCTTTGAATTACTTCCCACGCCTCACTGAGGGATCAAGTGATGCAGTAGGAAAGCTGGATTAACACTGCTGCCTGGCTGGCTCTCTGCTCTAGCTTGGCCTTCCTTCACCTTCCAAATAATCTCATCTTTGAATTCCTATCTCAGGGCCTGCAGCTGAGCAAATGCAAACTAAGACCATCCATGGTGCTCACTCAATAAAAGTATTTGTGGAAGGGAGGAATACAAATTTAGAATAAGTAGTACAGTAAGGTATAGTATCAGTGTGCGTGCACGCGTGTGCGTGCACACACACACACACACACATACACACAACAAAACAACCAAAAAGTAGGTATGATGGTGCATGCCAGTGGTCTTAGCTACTGAAGAGGTGGAGGTAGGGGAATCACAGTCCAAGGCTAGCCCAGGAAAAAAGCATGAGACTCCAATCTAAAGAACAAACTAAAAGCAAAAGCACTGAGGTGTGGTGATAGAGCATTTACCTACCAACCACAAGGCCCCAAGTTCAACCCTCACTATTGCCTAAATAAATAAATAAATAAAAGAAACTGGCTGGGAATGTGGCTTAGTGGTAGAGTGCTTGCCTAGCATTCATGAAGCCTTGGGTTTCATTTTCAGTGCTACATAAACAGAAAAAGCCAGAAGTGGTACAGTGGCTCAAGTGGTAGAGCGTTATCCTTGAGCAAAGAGAGGCCAGGAACAGAGCTGGGCTCAAGCCCCAGAACTGGCAAAAAAGAAAGAAAGAAAGAAAGAAAGAAAGAAAGAAAGAAAGAAAGAAAGAAAGAAAGAAAGAAAGAAAGAAAGAAAGAAAGAAAGAAAGGAAGAAAGGAAGAAAGGAAGGAAGGAAGGAAGGAAGGAAAAGAAGGAAGGAAGGAAAAAAGAAAGAGAAGGAAGGAAGGAAAAAAGAAAGAAAGAAAATGATATAATCTCTATATTTTCTTCTTAGGGGCGGAGGGTAGTATCTAGCTGTAATGAGACATTAAATAACAAACAGAAATGCTAGTTTATTTAAGAAAAAAAGCAGTTCTGTAAAAGTACCATGTTTCCTAAATGGCTGATGGTCAGGCATGTGCATTGGCAAAGTAGATGCTGGCTTTCTCTGCACATTGGATAGAGACAGGTCTTCCTTTTCTCCTTTTTGAACACATAAACTTGTGGGGAGAAGGAAGAGGAGGAGGGGGTGGGGAGGAGTAGGAGGAACAGGAGCTGGTCAGCCCTTGTGAATAGATTTTACTTTGTCAGATCACTGACTAAATCATTGGGCGGGAGCTTTGTGGTAAGGTTGCCTTCCAAGTGGGGGTGCGCCGGCTCCAGTTTGGAGGGGGCCTGCCCACGGTTGGGGCTGCAGTCTTTGTCTGAGAGGTAGGGTAAGTTGTCAGGGGTCTCCTCAGGGCTGGGATCCGAAGGGAAGCCCTTGAGGGCTGAAATGCGGTACCGCTTCCTCCGGTTCAGTTTATATATCCGAATCCTTTCTTTCTCTGCTTCTGGGTCGGTGAGAATTCCATCCCAGCGCAGGCTTTCGTTGACCTGGTTCGGGAGGTTCTTTTCTATTTCCGCACACTGGGGGTACGTCGTGCTATGGCAGGAAGAAGGGCTGTGTTGGCTTTCTTCCCAAGGGCTGTGGCCTTTGCTGGGACTTAAAATGTCTTGGAAGGATGAGGAAAGGGTCTGAGTCTTCGGGCCTTGACTCTGGTGTTTCTCTGCTGAGTGGAGGAAGAAGAAAGTTAATGTCTGTGGCCCTTTCTGCCCACAAAGCCTGGGAAGATGCCCCCCACCCCCCCAAGCCTCCACAGATAGCTCTTTTCCTCCAGCTTCATTCACCCCTCAGCCTGCAGGGTTTTGTCAGTTTGTGGGCAAGAGGAGCATTCCCCCCCCCCACTTTTTGCATGCTAAGTTACACCCCAGACAAGAGGACCCAAGAGTATCATGAATTTGTCAGTGTCACACAGGGGTGGGAAATCTAAGGCTGGCCTGGCTCCTAGTGCCCTTTCTTTCCACTATGACCTGGTGCCCCCCCCCTTTTCCCCCCACCTCACCACACGTCACTGAAATGCTTTCCAGGCCTAGGAGGCTATGACTCTACCACCAGTCTAGACGTTTTATGACGGAACAAAAGGAGAAGAGAAATGCTTCCTAAATCTGACTGGTGAAATGGATACTAGGCCAAATCAGGAAATATTTCTGCTTTATGCCTTATTATCTCCCTCCTTCTCTTTCTACCTCCCTCATCCCCCCCCCCACTCCACCCTTTTTATTTGGTGCCCAGTCCTGGGGCTTCAACTCAGGGCCTCATGTTCTCAATTAGCTTTCTTGCTCAAGGCTGGTGCTCTACCACTTGAGCCACAGTTCCACTTCCAGCTCTTTTTTGTAGGTCATGGGGCTTGAACTCTGGGCCTAGGCACTGTCCCTCATCTCTTCAGCTCAAGGCTAGCGCTCTACCACTTGAGCCACTGCACCACTTCTAGTTTTCTGGTGGTTTATTGGAGATAAGAGTCTCACAGACTTTCCTGCCCTGGCTAGCTTTAAACTGTGATCCTCAGATCTCAGCCTCCTGAGAAGCTAGGATTACAGGTGTGAGCCACTGGCGCCTGGCCACTTCCAGCTTTTTGCTGGTTAATTGGAAATAAAAGTCTCTCGGATTTTTCTGCCCAGGCTGGCTCCAAATCTCAGTCATTAGTTTTCCGTCTCCTGAGTAGCTAGGATTATAAGTGTGAGCCATCAGTATCCAGCCATCTTTTCTTCCTTCCTTTCTCTCTTTCACATGGATGGCACTTCAAAATCACATGGTACATATATAGAAACCCTAAGTTGTGGTTCGCTCATCAGTTCATCTTTTTCTTCTTTTTGCTGAAGGGGGACAGATCCCCCCTCCTCCAGGTAAAAGGGGGAATGGAAAAGAGAAAAGAAAAAGAAGGGTGAAAAACCCCTATCATGATATGTTCTTACCTTACTCCTTTCTGAAACTATTTGGTGTCCCCTGCTGACAGTCTGAGGTACATGCCACATGGCCACTGTTATGGCTACGGCCTAAAGCTACACCCAAGAGATACTAAACTTTCTGGCTTGCCTTTTGTGCTAGAATTTTTTTATGTAAAAAAAATTTTTTTTTGCCTTTTTATTATGACTCCACCTGATGAAGCAATTCTAATCTTCCCAAGTCCTTGTTCCCTTCCCAAACACAAGGCTGACTTGGGGAAGATGGCTGTTCCTTCCATCCCCAGACGGAAGAGCCACAACAAGAGCCACAAACACCACCCAGGATTAGCAGGACTGGACGCCAGAGCCCCTTCCCTGAAGGCCAAAGCCACTGAAGTAGAAGGTGACCACTCATGTGACCAAAGACTCCCAGCATGCAGGACAGGGCCTTCCATGTCACTGCTGCACTCTCTTCTCCAGTGGGCACTTGGGGGCTCCACTGAGGGATTTGGAGAGTGGAGGAGAGGAGCTTGGTGAAGGGCAAGGATGGGGTCTGTGGCACATGTTGTGTAGATACCTATGAAGGATTGGTGAGAGACTGAGTACCCCTGTGGATTCCCGTGTGGGTAAAACATCCAGGTCCTAGCAGGTGGTTTTTGAGGGGAGATCCAGACATGTGAATGTCTAGTTATATCTGTGTGTAAGTACCCACAATAGAGAAATTGCACCTTAGCTGCATTCAATGGGTGGCCTATCATTGTAGGGTGCTGCTTCGAAGGGAGTTAGGGATTATAAAAGATTGTGGCAGTGACTGGCATACTGCTAGCTATGAAGTCCAAGGCTGCTTTTTGGTGGATAGTGAGTGGATTCTATACAGGAAGGGATTCTTTCCTTTTCTTTTTTTTATTGTGAACATAAAATACCGTACAAAGGGGTTACAATTACATGGGCAAGGTAATGAGTACATTTCTTTTCTTTTTTTGGAGGTCCGGTCGTAGAGCCTGAACTCTGGACCTGGGCGCTGTCCCTCAGCTCTTCAGCTCAAGGCTAGCGCTCTACCACTTGAGCCACAGCACCACTTCCGGCTTTTTTCTTCTTGCTTATGTGGTGCTGAGGAATTGAACCCAGGGCCTCAGGCATGCAAGGCAAGTGCTCTACCACTAAGCCACCTTCCCAGCCCCAGTGAGTACATTTCTTATCAAGTATTGTTGCCTCTTCCTTTGTTTCCCCTTACTATCCCCTTCCCATTTTCCTTCCTTCCTTCCTTCCTTCTTTCTTTTTTTGCCAGGACTGGTGACTGAACTCTGGGCACTGTCCCTGAGCTTCTTTAGCTCAAGGCTAACACTCTACCACTTGAGCCACAGTGCCACTTCCAGCTTTTTCTGTTTATGTGGTACTGAGGAATTGAACACAGGGCTTCATGAATAATACTAGCCAAGTATTCTACCAAGAAACCACATTCCCAGGGCTGGGAAGGTGGCTCAGTGGTAGAGCGCTTGCCTTGCGTGCATGAGGCCCTGGGTTCGTATTCCTCAACACCACATAAGCAAAAAGAAAAAAGCTGGAAGTGGCACTGTGGCTCAAGTGGTAGAGCACTAGCCTTGAGCTAAAGAGCTGAGGGACAGCGCCCAGGCCCAGAGTTCAGGCCCCATGACCAGACCCCCCCCAAAAAAAAAGAAACCACATTCCCAGCCCAAAAAATTCTTCTTCCTCCTCCTCCTCTTCTTCTTCCTCCTCCTCTTCTTCCTCCTCCTCCTCTTTCCCCCCCACACGTTTTATATTTTTTTCTTTTTTCTCTCCACTGGAGCCCTACCTCCAGTCCAGTTTTGTTTTGCTGGTTAATTAGAGTCTCGAGGACAAGGGAGGATTCTTTTAAGTGCATTTACACGGTGGTGCTGTCCACGCAGAAGCTGGAAGCAGCAGTTCTTCACACACACAGAGGGGACAGGAAGAAGAGGCGCCTTTGTTTCTGTATGGGAGTGAGTGTAGTCAGGTAGTGTCTTTTAGAGGGGCCAGTCTCCACGTGTGGAAGCGTGGAAGGTGGGGGGGTGTCTCTGAAGGAGGGTTTGAAATTCCTGCAGGGAGAGTGTGTTTAGGATGTGTGAGTTAGGGCTGAGGATCTAGGAAGCTGAAAAAGGTGTTTGCATCAAACCAAGTCTCAGTGTGGGCCTGGGGAGGGAGGGGGGGTTGTGGACTCTGGGTATTGAGAATTCCCAGGGCAGGATGTAGGGTTTCCGTGTGGTATGGGGAGAGTGCAACTGGTCGGAGGGGGAATCTATGCTCCTGGGTGGAGGGTCTCTGAGGACACAGGGTCATCACTGTGACACCCTGAGTGGCGTGGAGGGAGTGGGGGGGGGGCTCGAGGCCTGCTGAGCTTCTGATTCTGGTCTGGCAGTGGTCTCCGGGGAGAGGGGCGTCTCTGGGATGGGGGTGTGTGTGTCCCGGGAGAGTGATCTCAGGTACAGGAGCTGGAGCAGCTGCGCCAGCTGTTCCTCTTACCGTCCCCCTTGCTAGACCCTTTGGTCTTCTTTTTCTTCTTCTTTTTCCTCTTCACTTTCCGTTTGGTCAGCTCTGTGGTGGTTCCTGCAATGGGGGGCAGTCTGGACCCCGACGGCGGCGGCGAGCCGGCTGCGCCGCCCGGCCACACCTCCCCTTCCTCGTCATCCTCCTCCCCGTCTGCGCCGTACTCCCCGGCCCTAGCCCCACCGTGGCCCGCCATCCGCCAGCTGGATCGCGACCTGCGCAGGGGCAGCCAGACCTCTGAGCTGCCGCTGAGCTGGCTGCGGGCACGGACGGCCCCGCCAGAACCACGCGTCTCCATGGCGACTGTGCCCACACCGAGCATGCGTGGTGGGACCGCGGCCGCTCCCAGGTGCTGAGCCTGGGACTTAGTTGTGCGCATGCATGATTGGGATGGTTGAAGACCAGGTTGAGCGGCTAGAGATTCTAAATTCCTGGGCTTGTTCATACCCGTGACTTTTAAAATGCTTTTTCTTCCTAATTGTTTTTGGTGTGTGTGTGTGTGTGTGTGTGTGTGTGTGTGTGTGTGTGTGTGTGTGTGTGTTTTGGGGGGAGGCTGTATTGGGGCTTGAACTTAGGACCTCTTGCTGGACTTTTTTACTCACAGCTGGTGCTTGAGCCACTGTTTACTGGTTAATTGGACAGAGTTTAGCCAACTTTTCTGCTCAGGCTGGTTTTGAACGGTGACTCTCCGGGTTTCAGCCTCCTGAGTAGCTAGGATTAGGTTACAGCCATTGAGTCACTAGCCAATGAACAACC